GATGGTAAGTAAATAATAGTATGTGCCGTGTGGTACGACTTGAGGAGGGAGACGGGGGTGGGGGTGGGGGGCGGCGGGCCCTTGGCTCAGTCCCCTTCCGGGCTCGGGTCCCCGACTCCCTGTAGCGTCCCAGGGCGGGCTCTGGGCTGCCCTGGTTTGGCCTGTGCAAAGGAGCAGGTGGGGTGCAGAGCCATTCGGAGTCTCCTGACCTGCTGTCAGTGTCCTGGGGCGCCTGCAACGAATTGCCGCAAAGGCGGCCGCTTGCAACCGCACCCGAGGCTTCTCCCGGCTCCGGGGCTGGAGGTCTCAGACCCAGCTGGGGGCCGTTGCTTTGAGGCTCTGCGGCGGCAAGCGTCCCGTCTGGCTCTCCCGGGTCCTGGGGGTGCGGCAGGTCTAAGTCTCCAGCTTCCCACTCGCACCTCCCTCGGCCTGTGTCCTACCGGGACACCTTCCGTGGATTAAGGGCCCATCCGAAGGCTCTGGGAGGGGCGCATGGACAAATCCTTCGGGGGGCCAGCACCCAACGCACCACAGCTGAGTTCGATGAGTTTGTGCTTCTAGGGCAGAGGTCACGCTCACTGGCGGACCCAAGGCTGAACTTGACCTCCGAGCTTCTCCCACTGCCTTCTCTTTAAAAGTAAAAATTCAGGGGCACCTGGGTGGCTCAGTCGGTTGAGCGTCCAACATCGGCTCAGGTCACCATCTCACGGTTGGTGGGTTCCAGCACCGCGTTGGGCTCTGTGCTGACAGCTCGGAGCCTGGAGCTGCTTCAGATTCTGTGTCTCCCTCTTTCTCTCTGCCCCTCCCCTGCTCACACTCTGTCTCTCTCTGTCTCTCAAAAATAAAAATAAACTGTAAAAAAATAAAAATTCAATTTCTTGTCAACAGTTACAAATTAAGGGGTTTCAAACAAAAGCGCTGGATTTCTTGTCTCTTTAAAAAAACAACTCACGTGTCTGGCAGCACTGGGCCCCTCTGGCTATGGAATATGGAGTTTACCCCAGTCCTCACTCCTTCCTGTTGTGCAATGGGGAGAGTTCAGAGCCTAAAGGCATGGGTTCTAATCCCGCTTCTGCACCTACAAGCTTATGACTTTTAACTGAGCCTCCTTGGGCCTCTGTTTCCTGAGAGGTAACAATGGTCGTTCTAGTGTGGGGACAATGCATTAAGGGAAGTAATGTATGCAGCATGCTTATATGATAAGTAGGTCGTGATCCATCAGTGTGAGTGGGGGCTCACCTCTCTGCTTGTCTCACCTGCCTGGCCCTCTAGGCATCCATTTCGGAGCCCTCTTGTGTGAGCTCCCTCCTCCCTTCATTTAAGGAAGGCTGGGGGCACACTGGAGGATTTCAGCCTCACAGCTCGAGAGGGCTGGGCATTAGTTAGGTGAGCCTAGAGGTGGTATGTGAATCAGAAGGCTCACCCTGGGCCTAGAACACTGACACCCATCAAGGCTGTCGTTTCAGTGTGCAAATCCACTCCTGTGAGCAGGGACCACAGCAAATTCCCTTTGAGGTCCCCTGTGCCTAACACATGCCTGGCATATAGGCTGTGCCCATCCATCTGTCCATCTATCCATCATCCAGCCAGCTAGCCATCTTCCCTTCCATCCATCCATCATTTATTTGTCCACTCATCCATCCACCTGTCCACCCACCCATCCATCTCTGCATCCATCACCCATTCTCCATCCATCTATCATTCACCCATCCATCCATCATCCATTTGTTCACTCATCTGTCCATCCATCCATCCATCTGTGCATCTATCACTTGTTCTTCCATCCATATATCCATCTGTCCATCTTTTCATCCATTACCCATTCATCCACCATCCATCCATCTTCCCATCCATCCATCATCCATTTGTCTATTCATCTGTCCACCTATCCATCTGTCCATCCATCACCCATTCATGCATCCATCCACTATCATCATCCATTCATCCATCCATCATCTATCTATCCATCCATCTCTCCATTCATTATCATCCATCCATCCATCCATCCATCATCCATCCATCTATCTGTCCGTCCGTCCGTCCATCCATCCATCCAAGAGAAGGTGAAACAAATCTGTTCACCCCCCTACTTATAACTCTCCCATGCCTCTCCAGCTAGCTCAGCATGAAACCCAGACCTTCAGGACAGCCCCAGGGCCCTGCAGCTTCCTTGCCTATGTCCTGCCATCTTTCTTTGCTCCTTGCTTCTCTGCTCTAGCTACGCTGGAGTGAGTCTGTGGCCTCTCCAAACTTGTTCTAACTTCTGGGTCTTGTAGTCACCATTACCTTTGCCTGGTGTTTACTTGGCTTTCTCCTTCTCTTCCTCTGGTCAATGTCACAGTTAGCAGGTGCTGTGTAACAAATCATCCCACAGTCTAGTGCAGGACAACAAACATTATTTTTTTGTGGTTTTGTGCGACAGCTTGTGCAGATCTCTCCACTCACATGGCAATTGGCTGGTGTCAGCTGGGGTGATGGGGATGGACCACATGTCTGTTCTCACAGAGCAGGCTGGCCTAGCAGGGTCGCAGGGACCTGAGACTAGCAAGGGGACAAGCTCCAGGGCACAAGTACCTTTTAGGCCTTGGCTGAGTCACCTTTCCTGACATTCCATTGGCCCAAACAAGACCTGTGGCTAACCCGAGGGCCTGGATGGGGGGGGGGGGACAGCTTGTGAGCATAGTTACAGTCTGCCAACAGCATGTGGGTTCTCCTCTGGAAACAGCCACTTTGCTTTGCTAGAATCTGCTAGAATTACTCGTCTATGCACACTGTGTGTACACGCATGTGTGCACATCTTTCTCCTTGACCCCTTGTCTGAGGAACCGTGACTCAACATGACCTCTGTTCTGCACCTGTTCTTGCTACTTAATAATACACCTTGGAGATAATTTCATGTAAATCATAAAACAATTCTGGTCTCTTTTATAAATTTTTTAAAAATTGTTAAATGTTTTATTTATTTCTAGAGAGAGAGAGAGAGAGAGAGAGGCAGCATGAGCAGGGGAGGGTAGAGAGAGAGGGAGACATAGAATCAGAAGCAGGCTCCAGGCTCTGAGCTAGTTGTCAGCACAGAGCCCGACGCAGGGCTCGAACCCACGAACCATGTGATCATGACCTGAGCCGAAGTCGGACACTTAGCTGACTGAGCCACCCAGGTGCCCCTCTTTTATAAAAAAATTTTAAATGTTTTTATTTATTTCTGAGAGAGAGACAGCATGAGCAGGGGAGGGTCAGAGAGAGAGGGAGATACAGAATCTGAAACAGGCTCCAGGCTCTGAGCTAGCTATCAGCACAGAGCCCGACGCGGGGCTCGAACCCATGAACCATGAGATCATGACCTAAGCCGAAGTTGGACGCTTAACCGACTGAGCCACCCAGGCGCCCCTGGTCTCTTTTATAAATGCATACTCTTCCATTTCAAGAACCATTTGTTTAGATTTAGCAAGCATACAGGGCACCCAGTTAAATTTAAAGCTCCAGGGGCGCCTGGATGGCTTAGTCGGTTAAGCGTCCGACTTTCGCTTGGGACATGATCTCGCCGTTCGTGGGTTCGAGCCCCGCGTCGGGCTCTGTGCTGACTGCCAGCTCAGAGCCTGGAGCCTGTTTCAGTCTGTGACTCCCTCTCTCTCTGACCCTCCCCTGCTCACGCTGTCTCTCTCTCTCTCCTAGAAATAAATAAAAACATTAAAAAAAAATTAAAAAAAAATTTAAAGCTCCAATGAACACCAATAATTTGTGGTATAAGTATGTCCCATGCACTATTTGGGGCATACTTACACTAAGAAAATATTCATTGTTACTTGACAATAAACTAATTAAGGGAAGAGAAAAGAAACTATTCATTGTTTAGTGGCAACTCCGGTTGAATTGGAGTCATGTATTGACTCGCACAAGCCCGACTGTGTTGTTTTAGGGTGTCTCTAATTTCTTGCTAATTTGTTCAGTGCTACAGGTCCCCGCAGGAAGGAAGGGTGTGTGCAAAAGGTCTCCCTGAAGGGAGACTGAGGCAGGACCCACAGAGGAGGGCCAGGCATAGGGAGCCAGTCCATGGGGCCAGCACCAGGGGGAGCCCCGGGGCAAAGGGAGCGGGTAAGTGCTGATCTGTGGGGGCTCCAAGCACCCGCCTACCCGTCTCCCTGCAGCCCTGCACTCACAGAGCATGGACACCCACACGGTGACTTGTAAACACACTGGCAGCCCCTGGGCTGACGTGTCTGTGGGATAAAGTCCTAAAACTGGAGTTTCAAGGTCAAAGTGTGTGTGCACTTATGATTTTTAAAAAATTGAGGTAAAATTGACAACAAAATTAACAACCATTTTATTTTATTTTAAAAAAACTTAAATATTTATTTTTGAGAGAGAGAGAGAGAGAGCGAGCGAGCCGGGGAGGGGCAGAGAGAGAGGGAGACACAGAATCCGAAGCAGCTCCAGGCTGTGAGCTGTCAGCACAGAGCCCAATGTGGGGCTCAAACCCATGGGCTGCAGGATCATGACCTGAACTGAAGGTGGATGCTTAACTGACTGAGTCCCCCAGGAGTCCCTATTTTATTTTAATTTTTCTAGTGAGTTCTATGCCCAATGTAGGGCTTGAACTCATGACCCTGAAATTAAGAGTCGCATGCTCCACTGACTGAGCAGCCAGGTGCCCCAAACATTAACAGTTCATTTTATTTACTTATTTATAAAACTTTTTAATAGTTTATTTATTTTGAGAGAGAGTGAGCATGAGTGGGGGAGGAGCAGAGAGAGAGAGAGACAGGGAGACAGAGAGAGAGAGGGAGGGAGAGGGAGAGAGGGAGAGAGGGAGAGAGAAAGAGAGAGAGAGAGAGAGAGAGAGAGAGAGAGAATGTCAAGCAGGCTCCACACTATCAGCATGGAGCCTGATGTGGGGCTTGAACTCACGAGCAGTGAGATCAGGACCTGAGCTGAAGTTGGACACTTAACTGACCAAGCCACCCAGGTGCCCCAACCATTAACCATTTTAAAGCGTACAAAGTTTAATAGTATTTAGTACATTCACAAGATTGTGCAACCATCACCATTATCTGGTTCCAGAACATTCCATCACCCTAGAGAAACCTGTCCCCGTTAGCCACCATCCTCTCCCCTGGCCTAGCTGCTGGCACCTGTGGACTCTCTGAGCCTCCGGATTTGCTTGTCTGGATGTGGCACAGACACGGAATCACAGCACAGGCGCTGCTGCCACACGGCCTCCAGATGCTGTCCCGATGGCCCCCAGCACACAGATGCTAGCTGGAAAGAGGCTTGTGGCCCGAGGTGGTCCCTGCTCCCCCTCCCTTGGCTGCTGTTGAAGCAGTCCGGGAGTTCTGCTGACCGTTTCTACCTCCTCTGTCCCTCTGCACAGTCTCCTGGAGATTCCAAAGTAGCTTTCCGTGGAGACGGTGGCCCAGGCAGGAGTCGACACACTTTCCCTGCAAAGGGTCAGACAGTCAATGCAATAGACGGTTTCCTCGTCCACTTGCAGGCCCTGTGCTGGGCTCTGGGGCTGCGGCAGTGACCAGAGCATCACCATCCTGGTCCTCCTGGGCTCACGCTGTAATGGAACAGGAAGGGAGAACAAGCAGCTGAGTCTGGAGGGATCAACCAGCTTCCGTGGAACAAGTTGCTTAGCGTCAGGGAAAGGGGCGCTCTCTGAGGAAGTGACGCTGAGCCCGGACATGGGGAAGGAACCAGTCTGCAAGTAGATGGGGAAAGGGAGCAGCAGAGGGACAGCAGGCACAAAGGCCCTGAGGTAGAAAGCTAGGTATCACTGAGGACGGGACAGGGCTTGAGCCTAGCAGGGGCAGGAGGCCAGAGTGAAGAGCTCGCTGGAGGAAGGGCTGGGGCTCATTTGTCACCTGACCCAGGCTGTGCTGGGCTGGTGCTTAGGGCCTGCCTGCTAATTGCTTGTTCTTTCTTCCCTTAGTACATGGGCTGCATCGAAGTCCTCCGCTCCATGCGCTCTCTGGATTTTAACACTCGCACCCAGGTGACCAGGTGAGCCTTTGAGACTGGGTGCTGTGGGGCCAGAGCCTGGGGGCAGCTGAGGGAGGGCTGATGTGAGGCTTCGGAGAGGTGGCAGTAGCGGCTCAGACAGTTTGTGCAGGGAACCCAGGAGAGCAGGCGCAGCGACATTCCCTCCTGCCTCGCAGCTTGGAGGACAGCTTGGGGCACAAGCTGAGTCCCAGCTCTGTCCTGTCCTCTGGTTGTCTCTGCTCCCCAGACCCTCAATTCCCTCTGTCAGAGAGGGATGACATCTGGCCCCTTGCTGGGTGTGGGTTCCACAGGGGTGCTGGACCTGTGGGTGCTGGCTGGTGTCCGGTTAGGGCTGAGGTCAGGGCTGGAAGGGGCTAGGAGATGGTTCCGGCTGGCATCTCTGTTGTTCCTGCTTTTTTTGGTGCAATGCACAGCGATCTCATGATGCTCTGATCTGCCAGGAACAGAGTCATGAAGAGGCATAAGGATCCACGTCTTTTTCTTTTCTTTTTTTTTTTTGAGAGAGAGAGAGAGAGAGAGAGAGAGAGCGCGAGTGAGCATGAGTGGGGGAGGGGCAGAGAGAGAGGGAGACGCAGAATATGAAGCAGGCTGCAGGCTCTAAGCTGTCAGCACAGAACTCGTTGTGGGACTCCAATGCATGGACCCCCTCTAAGATCATGACCTGAGCCCAAGTCGGATGCTGAACCGACTGAGCCACGCAGGCGCCCCAGGATCTACGTCTTTTTGCACGTGCAACGTTAGTCCATTCACTGTAGACATAAAAACACTCTATTGAGTTGTAATTCACATACCAAACAATTCATCCACTTAAAGTGCACAACTCGATATGTTTTGGTTTCTTCACAGCGGTGAGCCACCACTTGCTCCCTAATTCCAGAACATTCCATCAGCACCCCTGTCCCTTTCCCAGCCCCCACCCCCTGCTCCCACAGCCCCTACTCCCAGCCCTCACGAGGTCCTTCTCGTCCGTGGAGGAGCCTGTTCCGGACGCGTCACGCACGCGGACTCACACCCGCGTGGCCTCCCGTGTCTGGTTCCCGCCCTGAGCGTCGTGTGTTCGGGTCCGTCCGCGGGGCGGCGGGTGTGGGCGCCTCGCTCGTGCTCGCGGCCGAGGGGCGTGCGCGTGCGCGGTGGACACCGTCATCTGTGGACGTGCGCGTGCGCGGTGGCCGCCCCTGAGGGACGTGCGCGTGCGCGGTGGACACCGTCATCTGTGGATGACAAGTTTGTCAACTTGTCGAAGAACATGGGTGGCTTCAACCTTTTGGTGATTATTGTAACTCGGGCTGCTGTGAAACCGCGTGCACAGGTTTCGTGTAGACGCGTGTTCTCGTGTCTCCCGGGTGTGTCGGATGGGGGGTGGGGTGTCAGGCCGTGTGGTGACTCGAGATCTCGCTGTTTGAGGGGCAGCTGCCCCGTTTCCGCAGCGCCTTGTCACCTAACCTCCTGCGGGCTGTGCGGGCACCGGCCGCTTGGGGCCCAGCCTGGTCCACGTGACCTTCAGCCCTCCGCGGGGGTAGCGGGTTCACAGAGGTCCGTCTCATTGCCTGGTGAGCCCAGAGCAGAGGCCACTCTCTCCAGCCGCAGGTGGGGATCTCGGATGGCCTGTGGCTGCACGAAACTTGGGGTCCGGGATCAGGAGTGATGTTGTTGGCTCCCCTGAATCTCACCCCTGTGGTTTGGAGTTGGGCTGTGGCCCAGGGATGTGCTGATCACTGAGAAGGGCAAGAGCCGAGGTTGGTATGTGCTTGGGTATCTGCCGGGTGCAAACGGGGTGGGGGCTGAGAGCCCCTGGTCCATGGCTCTGTTCCTTCGTCCTCTCTCCAGGTACCCGCTTCCCTCCCTCCTGTGAGCTCCTTCCCAGCTCGGGATCCACGTGCCTTCTCTGCCCATGGCTTTTTCCCTCCACACTCTCTGAGCTCCTGCCCCCTTCCTAACCGCCCCCTCCGAGTTCACTAAGCCTCCTTCTACATCCCCCCACACAGGGAAGCCATCAACCGGCTCCATGAGGCAGTGCCTGGCATCCGGGGCTCCTGGAAAAAGAAGGTGGGTGATAGGCTTGTGGTCCTGGTGGTTGTGGTTGGAGCAGTGGGGGGCGCCATGGCCTTCCCAGAGGCTACCCCAGCCAGAGCCCCTCTGCAGCCCCACCTTCCCCAGTGCCTGGGCTCCCCACTCTTCAAGCCTGGCACTGCCCTCTGCCCTGTCCCCAGGCCCCCAACAAGGCGCTAGCCTCCATCCTGGGCAAGAGCAACCTGCGCTTCGCCGGCATGAGCATCGCTGTGAGCATCTCCACCGATGGCCTCAACCTGTCCGTGCCGGCCACGCGCCAGGTCAGTGCCGCCACCCATGTCCTCAGCCCCCAGCAGCCCCCATGCAGGGCAGGTCCAGGGACCTGCGGCCAAAGCTGGAGGTTTGGCACACATGGGGCTGTGTGTGAACATGTTCACCTGGAGATGTGCTGAGGCCCCACCCGAGCCAGGAGCCGAGCTCCCCTCGAGGCACTCGCAGTTGGCACGAGTGGGGAGGGGCAGGGGTGCTGCTGAGCCCCGACAGTACCCAGGACGCCCCTGCCGAGAGTGACCCCACCCCACTGTCAGCAGTGCTGTTGGGTGAGAGCCCTGGCTGGGAATCTTCTGGTGGGAACAATCCCGCAAAAGAAAATTGCACAGATAAGGGAATAATTACAAATTCTAAAAAGCATTGTGAGGCCAAGCAAGGGGTGCTGTAGGTGAGCACAGGGCACCCTGACCTAGCAGGGGTGTCATGAAGGACTTCCTGGAGAAGGTGATGCTGGCTCCAAGGGAGGAGGTGAGGAGAGGATGTCCCAGGTATATTTCCCCCCTGGGGAGACCAATCTGGAGAGGTGAGTGAGGTTCATGGTAAGGAGTTAGGACTTGTCCAGACGGCACCGTGAGCCTGGGAAGAGCTGTGATGTGAGGGCACCAAAGAGGGAGCCCAACCAGGGCATCTGTGGAGGACCTGGTGAGGCATCCACTGCTCTCTGGGCCGTGAGCGCTCAGGACCAAGATGGGAGGTGGCAAACGGATGCAAATGAGCGCACAAATGAACATGGAAACAGGCCTGCAAATGTGCACCAAAACAAGCATGCAAATGAGCAAGTGAATGCAAATGAGCATGCAAATGAGCACACGGATAGTGGTGCCTGGGCGCTGGTGCTAGACCAGAGCCTCCGGCACTTCTCTCCTGTGTCTCCTCAGAGCTGCCAGGCTGCTTGGCCAGGTTAGTGCGCCAGGTGAGTGCGCGTCCCTGGTGAGTGCCTGTCCCCGATGCTGTGTGGGTGGATGCATGGGCCAAAGGTGTGAGGGCGTGAAGATGGTCTTGAGTGTGTGTGACTTCATGTGTGAGTATCTGTGTGTAGGAGGATATGTCGGTGCATCTGTGTGGGCAGTCAGAAGTACGCACGTGTGAGAGTGGCAGGGGGTGTCCCAGCCAGCCCCAGCCTGACCCTCCCCTGGCCCCAGAACGGTGGCCCCCCCCATGACTGTGTCTGTCTCTCTCCGGCCAGGTCATTGCCAACCACCACATGCAGTCTATCTCCTTTGCATCGGGTGGCGACACGGTAAGGCCAGTGGTGGGGGGGGGGGAGACTTCCGGTCCTGTCTGTGCCCTGCAGCCCCATGCCCATCCCCCTTTGCCCCCTCACGAGGCCGCGGTAGCCCCAGCAGGTCCGGCTGACCCCTCCCACCTGTCCTCTCTCCACCCAGGACATGACCGATTATGTGGCCTATGTAGCCAAGGATCCTATCAACCAGAGAGGTGAGGTCCCTGTGGGGGCGGGCGGGGGGCCCTGTGGGCAGCGCTGGCTGCTGGCCGAGGCCCATCTGACGCTGTGTGACAACCCTCTCCAGCCTGTCACATCCTGGAGTGCTGTGAGGGCCTTGCCCAGAGCATCATTAGCACCGTGGGCCAAGCCTTTGAGCTGCGCTTCAAACAGTACCTGCACAGCCCCCCCAGGGTGGTCCTGCCCCCGGAAAGGTACCAGGCCCGTGCCCTCCCCAGCTTCCCAGAGATACCGGCCAAGGCCAGATGCACAGCCCCTGCGCTCACCTTCTCCACCCTGGGCGTGGGCCTCTGCGTGGCGTGGTCCCTTCCGCCCTCTGCGTTCACTGCCCGGTCCCACACCCTCATCCCTACAAGCTGGATGAAAACAGCCCTTGTGGGGCAGAGGCAAGGATGAGGGGAGCCAAGTCAGCGGCTGGGGTCATCACCAGCCTGGATGGGGGTGGCTGACGCTTCTGCAAAAGGGCCAGTCCGTGTGTTCAGCTTTGTGGGCCACACCGCCTGCCTCAGTCGTAGTAGCGAGAGCAGCTGTGGACTGTACGTGAAAGGGTCAGTGGGCCGCCTGCCAGCAAGAGTTTATTCATAGACACTAAATCTTGAATTTCGTGTAATTTTCACATGTCACCAAATATTGTTGTTTGGATGTTCTCCTAGTCATTTAAAAGTTTTGTGGCTTAAAGAGCAGAAAGCATTCTTCGCTCCTAGGCTGCACACATACAGGCCGTGGCCCAGATTTGCCCAGTCCTGCTCTCAGCTACGTGATTACTCACTAGATGGAAATTTGCTGGACTAAATAGCGAGTAGATGAATATGTTAGAAGTTCAAATACGCACACGTTAAGGAAGAAGGAGCATCTGCAGCAGCAGACAGTGCCACGTGCGTCTCCTCCGCGATGCCCCTCGCCACACCTGTGCCACACGGCTCATGTGCCCATGATGTGCGCACGCGGGGCCCTCCTCTGCCACCTGCACCCTCGTGCCCGAGGGCAGGCGGCAGCATCCCCGTCTCGCTGTCATGAACCACAGTCGCCTGATAGATTTCTACACCGGCCCTTGCAGGGCCAGGTGCAAGGATCTTTAAGTGCTGAGGGCGCTCCCATCCTGGCCTTATGGCACCTGCTCTGTGCAAGGTGCCTGAGGGGGCGGGGGGCTCAGGCAGAGGTGGGAAGGAGGGAGTGGAGACCAGCTGTAGTTTCTAGAAAGCACTGGAAAGAGCACGAGGTCCCGTTTTATAGAGAAGAAAAGAGCACTGGGCCGCTCTCGCACTAAGCCCGCCCGTCCTGCAAAGCTCCAGCCCCCGTCCCTGGTGCCCTGGCAGGGGCCCCTGCTCTCTGTGCCCCTGAGAACTGAGGTCCCTGCCTGGCTCCTGCTTGCCATCTGTCCCCAGGCTGACCAGGCCTGAGGAGTCGGCCTGGGGGGACGAGGAGGAAACGGAACACAATTACTACAACAGCATCCCAGGGAAGGAGCCGCCCCTGGGCGGGCTGGTGGACTCCAGGCTCGCCCTCACTCAGCCCTGTGCGGTCGGCGCCCTCGGCCAGGTCAGCTTCTATGGCCCTCACGGGGGAGGGACGGTGGCAGTGTCGTCGCTGGGCACGGACTTCTTGGGCCTGACCCTGGCTTCTCCTTCTGCTCCTCTTCTCCTAGGGGAGGGTCTCTCCTGCCTCCCTTGCCCTCCTTTCCCTCCTTCCTTCCCCAAATTGCACGGATGGGTCTGGCCCTACTACAGACATGACTCCCACCGGCAGATACTGATTACATGATCCAATCAGCAGTTTAATCAGGGCCATGAGACAGGCTTCCAGGGAAGGTAATGAGAGTGTTCAACAGGGAGACTGACTTTGGTCAGGAGGACTTCCACAAGGAAGCAGTGTTTGGGTTGGGCCCTGACGGGTGAATAGGAGTTGCCTGGGAGAGCAGTGCAGGGAAGGGCATCCAGGTGGAGGGAACAGCATACAGTGGAAGGTGCAGATTGCTTTCTGGAGCGGAGAGGGCAACTGAGGGCCACAGCACAGGTGGGCAGGAGACCGAGGGCAGCTTGGGAGCCAGGGCCTAGGAGAAGGCTTGGAAGGGTTCGGAGCTAACCTTCGCATCTGATTTCTCTCTGGCCATGCTGGAGGGAGGGAAGGGTGCTGGGGGACACGGTGCTGGCCTGGGAAGAGGGGGTTGCACAGTGCAGAATGACCCCTCACTCTCTTTTTCAGGGGGTACAGCCTGCTCGAAGGGACACCCGCAGTCTGCCGTGGGACCTGGGCCCCTCAGGTAATGGTAGGCGGTCTGGAGGTTCAGGGAGACCCCAGCCCCTCCCCACACTGCCTCTCCTCTGCACCAGTCACGTTCACCCGCGAGATCGTGCACACTCCCTGTGTTCTTAGGAGATCTGGCAGCGTTGGTTTCTCTTTTTTCTGTACAGACTAGGCTCATTGCGTTTTGGGAGAGACACGGCTTTCACGTGTTCACAATGCCAGAGCATAGAAAGGCCTTCATCAGAAGTCACTGTGTCAGCCCTGCCCCCACTTGCCTCCCCGCCTCCCCAGTCGGGCCACCACTGTTAGTACTTCTTAGTTTCCATTATTTTTCTAGTATCTTCCACATATCTTCAAGTGCATTGAAATCCGTGTACTGTGGCTTTCCCCGTTTTCACAGATAGTGGCGTCCTGTGCATGCTTCCTAGCTTTGCCCAGGGAGCGAGCCGCCCTGCAGTTCTTTCTGCGTCTGCACGCGGTGCACACTCGTTCTTGTTCGCCACTGCATGTGACCCCACCACATGAGGTCGCACTTTTATTTCACCTGCACTTGACTCATGGCCATTTGGGCAGACTCCAGGCCCCACTTCAGTAGGACCATGTAGGACGACGGATGCTCGTCATCCCGTGGGTTCGAGGGTCTCGATAGGGCCCAGCCCCCAGAGGGTGGCTGCTTGTTCTCGTTTGATAGAAACCATGCAGTTGCCCTCCCACCGGAGGCTACTTGAGGCTTTGGCTTTCACAGAGCGATTGGGTGTTCGGCCCACGAGCACTGTATCCTGTTACACAGAAAGAAAAGTGACATAAGGTTAGCACCCCCTTGGCCCTCAGCTCCCAGGCGGGGAGCTCAGCCCCCTGTGCCTCCTCTGGGACTTTGTAAGGACAGGCACCGCCGAGATGGGGACTCTCGAGGTGTGCTGTGGGCACCCTCGGTCACTGTGAGGTTTTGCAGCATCAGCCTCCTGGGCTGATGGGCACTGAGGGTCCCCCTCACACACACCAGGTGCAGCCCCGTGTTTGTCCTGTGGGTGCCAAGCTGCGAGGCTGCCGAGATCAGAGCCTGTTAGTCACGTTGCTGGAGGCCGCTGAGCTGCTCTCCAAGGTGCCTGTGCCCGTTGGCTCGCCCACCAGCCCTGCTGCAGCTGCCTGTTCCCTCACAGCCTTACTAACGTCTGTGTTGGGCTTTTTTTTAGATCTTCCCAAATAATCTGGGCATTTCGCTGCCAAGCGTCAGAACCCTCACTGACTGCCAGCGCCCAGGGGTTAAAGAGCCAGGTGCCAAGCTATAATGTGGCCCTTGTGTGCTATTTCTCTGGGCCACGGGCCGCTCACCCATAACTCCCAGGGTTCATAGGCATTTCCCAGCCCTGGCCTTTGCATATGCTGCTACTGCTGCTTTTTATGCCTTTCCCAATCCTCTAGCCCAGCGCTCTTCCCAATACCTCAGTGCCCCAGTGTCCGCAGATCCTCTCTCAGTCTGAGTCTCCGACCTGAGTTTCTTCCCCCTTCCCTGGCCACGGCTCTGAGAGGCCGAAAGAACCCACGCCTTCTCAGGCAGACGGGGAGGCCTGCACTGGGACCCCTCTGTCCCATCAGCCATCTGGGCGTGGCATATGGTTGCCACCCAGATTGAATAACTGTTGCCAGATACTGTTCTAAGGTTTTGATCCTCACCCCTACTTATGAAGGAGCTATTCCTAGTCTCCCCATTTTACAGAGGAAGAGACTGAGGCACAGAGGAGGTGGTGAGCTTGCCCATGTCCACAGAGGGCAGGTGGAGCTGGCCGGTGAGCTCAGTGCCCATGAGGTAGTTGACATAACATGGAGATTGCAGACTGTAGGGTCCTCCGGCTGGATTTGGCCACGCAGTGTACTGAAATCATCATTTCTCTGCCAAGGATTAAAAACGCTGATGTTTGGAAATAAAGAGATAGTTATGAGAAAAATACACACAAATGTCCTTTGAACCTGGGAAAAGAGGCTGAGCCTTGCTCAAAATAAGAGAAGTGCAAACTGAGGTCCTCCAGATGCCATTTCTCACCTATTAGACCAGCAAAACCATAATGCCCTGGCAGGGGTGAGGGCAGGGGACAGGCAGAGGCAAAGTGGTCGGGATCCGGCGGAACCTGAATGGGGCACTGAGTGGACCCAAGTGAGAAATTCCTCCAAAGATAACTTTCACTGTGGCTGTGGCTTTTGAACCATGCAAATGCTTTACACACTCACAATTAAACTTACAAAGAAGAGAAAGGAAATCCTACAACTTGATGGAAACGAGTGATCTATGTGTCGCGTGGATAACACAACTACAGGGAACACAGTTTCATTGTTACTAATTTTTAGATGTGGACGTTTAACAGAAACATGGGGATTTCTGCCACCGTCCCGCCCAGTGGTGGCCGCCCCTCCCCGGTGTGGCCCTCTAGTGCCCCACAGCCCCTGGCTGGACATTTATGGGGCTTTCATTCCAGATGGTGCTGGCAAGAGGGTGTGTGGCTTCCGCCCTGGAGGGAGACGGGTGTGGGCTGGGCTCCCAGGTGGAGCCCCGCCTGCTCCCCCAGCTGACCCCACCACTCCTCTTACCCTCCCCAGGCCCGCCGGGGGACGGCTACGTGCAGGCAGACACACGGGGCCCCAGAGACTACGAGGACCACCTGTATGTCAACACGCAGGGTCTGGAAGCCCCCGAGCCCCTGCAGCCGGAGGACAGCCCCAAGAAGGACCTGTTCGACATGCGTACGTGGGGGCAGGCCAGCCTGAGGGGGGAGGCCATGCCCCTAGCAACCTGTGGTCTGATGGGGGAGGCCCAGCCCTTTGCAAACTGGTGAGGGTGGGGTGGGAAACTGTTTCCTACGACTGCCTCGTCTGATGGGGAGGCTCAGGTGGCTCCCCTCCTGGGGCCCTTCAGTCTCTTGGGAGTAACCCAGCCTCCTCTCTGTAGCGGTCTCTAGTCTGAGGGGAAGGGCCTAGTTCATGCTTTGAAAGAGTGGCTAGTATAATGGGGGAGGCTCAGGCCCCTCTCCTCCATGATACTTCTCAGTCTCTTGGGGGAGGGGTAGCTCCTTACCTCTGGGTTTCCCAGTCCAATGAGGGGATTTGAGCTCCCTCCTCAGGTGACTCCATGGCTCAAGAAAGTAGGCCCAAGCCCCTTCTACTGGGAATCCCAGCCTGGTAGGGGAGGCAACCTTGGGGGGACCCAGTCTGATGAGGGGGGCCTAACCACATGTTGATAGAGTGAACAGTTGATGGGGGAGCCCATTCCCTTTTTCTCTCTATGATACCCCAGCCTGAGGGAGGGGTCAGTATAACGGAGGAAGTGTGTGTCCCAAACAGTCTCCTTATCTGCCACAACACCAGTGTCATCGTCATCCACAGGCACCGTCATCTGCCTTCGTCGGGAAGCCTCCCTAGTGGGAGAGCCCCAGGTGCCCACCAAGCAGGCTGGAAATGTCTTCCTTCAGAGAGTCTGCAAAGCCCCCTCCCCACCATCTGACAACTGGAGAGTGTGCATGTGAGCGGGGGAGGGGCAGAGAGAGAGAGAGAGAGGGAGACAGAATCCCAAGCAGGCTCCTCGCTGTCACCCAGGCCCCTCAGCTGGATTTCTTACTGCAATAGGACATGAGCTGATGGCGCCTCCGGTGCCCCAGCTGCTGGACTAAAAGCCTGGCCCCCGCTGCCTCCCCACAGCAGTCCTCACGCGGGAAAGGACTCCCAGAGTGGGAGCTTCCGGGGACGCCTGTCTCCTTGGGAGGACCAGGCAGCCCAGCAACCCCAGCCAGGCTTCCATTGAAAATTCTGGGTCTGTCTCTGATTAGTCCTTCCTGGGTCATGTGCTCACCCCCCAGCCAATCAGTGGGTGGAGGTGGAGCTGAGACTAAAGTGTTGATTGGCCAGGCCTGGTCACATGTCCTGGTGGCTGGAGGCTGGGCCAGCTGCCCCCAGACCCCCGAGGAAGGAGTCAGGGAGGAGGGATTCCCAACAGCAAGGAAATGGAAGGAATGTGGGAGCGCGGGGTCCGGGCGGGAGTCTGCGTTCCAGGTGTCTGATCTCTGCCGCTCCACATCCAACTTTACGACGAGGAGACAGGCTCAGGGAGGGCGAGGGGCCTGTCCAGTGTCACACCGGTGCTTGCCCGGAGCCTCCGAAATCCCCTGCAGATCGGAAACTTTTCTCTGAAAGTCTGTTAAGAGAAAGGGATGCCTGCCGCCTGCCACCCAGATGCAGTGTTGTGATAGAGGCGCCGGCAACGTGGTCGGGCAGCTAACGAAACACTGAAGAGGCGTAAACACTGAAGAGAAAGAAACGCTGTCATTATTTGCCTAGACTTCCCAAACCCACGAGAATATACTGCATAATTAATAGAACCTAGTAGACGGGCAGGAAGGTGACTGGCTACAAGGTTGGCACCACACAGTGTGCACTCAGCGCACAGCCAGGGACGTACTGTGGCCTTAGGGTAAGGTCTGATGCACCCTAGGTGCCCAGCCAGTGTTGCTCAGGTCCCGGGTGGGGTAACCACCTGGAGCTTTTTCCTTCCAGCCCAGGCCACCCCCCCCCCAACCTTTCCAGCAGGAGTCAGCTGCCAACCCCCGCCTCCTGCACTTCATCTTCGCCTCCAGGACCCTTCGAGGATGCTCTGAAACTGCACGAGTGCTCTGCGGGGGCGGGGGCGGCGGTAGCGCCCCTTCCTCTCGAGGACCAGTGGCCCAGCCCCCCCACCCGTCGGGCCCCTATCGCCCCCACGGAGGAGCAGCTGAGGCAGGAACCCTGGTACCATGGCCAGATGAGCCGAAGGGCAGCAGAGAAGCTGCTTCGAGCCGACGGGGACTTCCTGGTGCGCGACAGTGTCACTAACCCCGGGCAGTACGTCCTCACGGGCATGCACGCGGGGCAGCCCAAGCACCTGCTGCTCGTGGACCCCGAGGGCGTGGTAAGGAGGGACGCGGGGGCCGGAGGCGCGACCGGCGAGCGGCGGGGGGCGGGGGGAGGCCGCAGGTGGGACGGGCGGGGGAGGGGAGGCGGGGCCGGAGAGCGGGGGTGGGCGGGGCCGGAGAGCGGGGGTGGGCGGGGCCGGAGAGCGG